GACACAGGTGCAGTCACATATATGCAGGTGATACACTCATACATATAGAATAAAAATATAAAATATTTAAAAAAAATAAGAATTCTATTTTCAAAAAACAAAACAAAAATTAAACTGTGGGGGCTGGAGCTATGGCTCAGCAGTTAAGAGCACTGACTGTTTTTGCAGAGGACCTGAATTCAGTTCCCAGCATCCATATGGTAGCTAACAATCATCTAACTCTAGTTCCAGGGGCTCTGACACCCTCTTCTGGCCTCTGTGGACACTTCATGACATGGGTGTACCTATATACATGGAGGCAAAACACTCATGCACATAAAATTAAAAACAAAAACAAAAAACCCTCAACTGTGCCAAGCACTTGGAAGGCAGAGGGAAATGTATCTCTGTGAGTTCCAGGGTAGCCATGGCTACAAAGTGAGACCCTGTCTCAAAAACAGCAACAACAGAGCCAGGCATGGTGGCGCACGCCTTTAATCCCAGCACTCAGGAGACAGAGGCAGGCAGATCTCTGTGAGTTCAACACCAGCCTGGTCTACATAGTGAGTTCCAGGACAGCTGGGGCTACAGGGAGACCCTGTCTCACAAAGACAAAAAAAAAAAAAAACCAACAAAACCCAGCAAAAAAACAAAACCAAAAAAAAAAAAAACCCCAAAACCTAAACTCCAGTTATTTCTGGGTTATAAAGTGAGGTGATGGTATTTTCCGGATCCTTCTCTCTGCCGTAAGCTTTCTGTGGTGACTGTGCAATATTTTTATTTTTATTTTTTTGTCTTTTTGAGACAGGGTCTCCCTGTAGTCACAGCTGGCCTGTATTCTCTAGGGAGACTAGGCTGGTCTTGAACTCACAGAGCTCTGCCTACCTCTGCTTCCCAAGTGCTGGGATTAAAGCAGCATGCCAGCACAGCCGCTGGACTACGCAGTATTTATCAGAAAAAAAGTACATGAAAATTACCTAACAAACATACCCAAACTAGCCATGATAGAAACTTTCAGTTTCCATTGGTTTAAAATAGCATTTCATAAGCCCCACATCATGCAGTGTTCAGAGCCCCATTTCCAGGATCTCACAGTTACTGCTATTATTTGTCACTTAAAACAACTTTCATTGAGGGTCCTTCTATTCTGTACAGGCTTTTACCTCACACTATCTACAGAAGGAAATTATAGTGATGTTTCAAAAGTACCAAGATATTAAAGTGAAGTTAAGTCCTGATAATTGTTTGAAGTTTGCCCAGCCAAGTCTATATCAAAGCATCACCCAGAGCCCTGATTGGCTTCCAAGTCCATACTTGTACTGAGATGGAACATGCCCTGCGTCAAGCACAAGTGGAGATGGTTCCTCTTCTAAATTTATTGTCATCCCATTATAACTACTATAACCAGACTGGAGCTGATAAAATTAACACTTTTTCCAAGTGTCTGCTCATGCACAACCAATGCAGAGATGAAAGACGGAGCTTGAAACCAGTGATCCCCAAGGTGGGGCAGGCATGCAAAAGACTTCTTCAAGGGCATAGGAAGAAAAGAGAAAGTACTAGAATTTTCTTTTCCATTTATTTTGTTTTTCCTTCTCATTCAAGTTCTATTTTGCATCTGTTTCTAATGTGCATACTACTCATGTATATAACTGATGTGCAGTGTACATATGTAACATGTAAATTATAAACTGTCATGCAACGTACAACAGAACATGTACACACATGCACAGCACATAAAAAAGAGAGCCATTTACATATCACATATGAAAAATGAACATGCTCTGAAGCATTCTACTGATGGGGTTATAGTAGTTATAATGGGAGGATAAATACATTTAGAATAGAAACCATCTCCACATGGACATGTGATTAAAGTGGAACATGTTCCATCTCGTGGGCTTGGAAGCCAGTCAGGGCTCTGGGTGACACTTACAGGAACAATGTTTGAAGACCAGTGGCATGAGCAGGGAAGCAGGAAAACAGTCAGGAACCCAAGAACGAGTTGAAGGGAAGAAAAAGGAGAAAAACAAATCCCCAATGAGGTAAACATACTAAAAGGAATTCAAGAGGAAAGGAGAGTCCTGGGAGGTAAACAGGGATCAGGGAGCTCAAATAAGAGGATTGTGAGTAAAAACTATAATGCTGTTTACTTTTATGATTTGATGAAAGGAAATGACTCAAATGTCTGGGGTGGATCCTGTTCCTGCCTGGGGGAAAGCTAGTGAAATACAACTGACCACCAGACATCTTAAAATAGATACTATGTTGTCAGGTTACAATGGCCGCAGAGAACAAACTTGAAAAACAGGGTGCTGTTTACAGCTACTTAATACAAGCTTAACACTAGTTGAGAGACAGGTTTCTGTGGGCTAATTTGGCTTGGAAGAAAGCAAATGCCAAAATGTGGACATAATGAACAAGAAGAATTTGGAGTTAGCCTAATTTTTCAACTAGTATCCTTAAAATTCCAAACTGGCAGAAAACAGGGCCTACCTTAATCATACAATTATCTTTCAACCTGACACATCCTTTAATTTTTATTTATTTTTTATTCTTTTGAGAGATGTTCTTAGAAAGTAGCCCCGGCTGGCCTGGAACTCTAAATAGACTAGGCTGTCCCAGAACTCAGAGATCCTCCTGCCTCTGCCTCCCAAGGGCTGGAATCACAGGTACTGGACACTACACCTGGCTACTACTACAAAACTGTTTTTTACAGACATCTGAGTGCAGAAGGCTGAGGGGGGGGTATAACCCAGCGGTAGCATGCTTTCCATGTACTTGCCCTACCCCAAAAGAAGTGTATCAAGAGAAACAACCTCAATCTCTGTTTATTCCCAAATCCTAACAGAAGCAACTTAAAATGTTTATTCCCAAACCCGGCGTGATGGCGCACGCCTCTGATCCCAGCACTTGGGAGGGAGAGGCAGGTAGATCTCTGTGAGTTCGAGGCCATCCTCGTCTACATATTGAATTCCAGGCCAGCTGGGGCTACAGGTAGACCCTGTCTCAAAAAGACAGAAAGACCAAAAAAAAAGTTTCTTTCCCCAAACCACTGCTTATTATAATGGGCAATATAACGACTACAGGAAAAGAGCAATTGAAAAAGCGGAGGAGGTGACATGGGCATGGTGGTGTGCCTGTGTAACCCTAGCAGGAGGGGAGGCTGGCTGAGTTTAAGGCCAGCTCAGGAACACAGGTGAGATCTCGTCTCAAAAAATAAAGAACTCCAAAGAGTTCATTCTTCCATCTCCCTTTAAACTGTCCACTCCTGATTCTTCCCATGAGTATGAGATTCACCAACAGGAATTGGGTCCTAGGTTTTTGTGGGTTAATTTTCTAACAGAAGTTGGGGAAGGGGGAAACCCATTTCCTCCCAGCTTTTGCCAGATTGCACATGTGATACATACCTTGTGCCCTAAAACAAAGTCTTCCTGAAAATGTTTTATGCCAAGGTTCGAAAGTTCATATTGTGTAAAGGAATCATTCTTCTTCTGAACAAAATATTGACACATGTGTTTACCATAAGTCGGGGTAGAACAAGCAATGGTTGGGCAACAGTTTTGGGGTTATTTCATAACTGCAGAAGAAAATCAAGATTTACGTTCTGGGGCCTTAAGAAGAGTTTTACAATTTTCTAACGTTTAGACTGCACCCTCCAAGGCCCACCTCATAAAGACTCCTAAGTCTCGACTTGTTGCCACCTACTCTGTTTGATGAAGACTAGTAACAGCCACAAAGCATTCTGAGAAGAAATTACTTTTCTTATTAAAACGCCAAGGAGAGCTAAGCTTCTTTCCAGCCAGCTGGGCAGGGAAATAAAACCACAAAGTCTGACGGACGGACGTCTTAGGACAGTAGGCCATTTTCAAATGAATACCAGTGAGCTTTGAACTGACCCGACTGAACTGTGACCTGGAAGGAGGGCTTCGGGCTTACTACCAGGGAAGAATCGAGAGAAGCAAACTGAGTTGACCCAATCATGACTTTAAAAAATAAAAAAAAAACTTTACCAGAAACGCGTGTCATAGAGGCAAGCATTTCCAAAGACGTCAAAGGTAGAGAGAGCCTCAAACTTTCTGCCTTACTCAAACTGCAAAATCTGCACCTCTGGAGGCAAACTGCGTTCACTGAAGCAGGAATTCGGTCCAAAAAAAACAGATGCATGTCTATCTACCAGAGATCTGGACTGGTATTTCTGGTTGGAGAAGCAGGCTGTGCATGCTGAGGACTCAAGGCTGCGGCTGGGGTGCAGGGCGACACTAAAACCTAGGGGGTTGGTGGGGAAGGAGCAGGGGGGGGGGCGCTGCCCACTGTCCACGTGCCCCCTGCGCTGCAGTGGGTGCGTCTCTCCGCGCCCCCCCCCCAGCCCGGATCCCCCCTGCCTCCCACCTCCGGTCCGCAGCAGCAGCAGCTGCGGCGGGAAGATGCGCGAGGCCCCTCGCTGTCCCGCGTACCTGGCTCTCGGAGGCGGGGATGCCGGACTCGAGCTCGCACAGCGCGCGGAAGTTGTGCAGCTCGAAGTCGGCGTCGACCTGGAGGGAAAAGGTCACCTCGGAGAGGTCCCTCCGCACACAGTACACGGTGAGCAGCATGGCCCGGGCCCGACCCCGCTCGGCTCGGCCCCAGCGGGGAGGTAGGGCAGGCGGCGGCGGTGGAGCTGCGGGAGGGCGGACGGCGCGGGCTGCTCGCTCGCTCCTTCCCTCCCTCACACGCGCTCAGTGACTCACTCGCTCCCGCCCTCACCAGCCAGCGCGGCCGCCGCCACCCGCCTGCGAGGCCGTCTGCCTGCCGGCCTGCCTCCCACCGCTGCCGTCAAGCGCGCCGGCTGCCTGCCGCCCCGCCCCGCCGCAACGCGGCTGCCGTAAAGCACACCCGACCGCCTTTGCGACGCGCGGGGGTGGGCGGGGCCGGGAAGGGCCGGCGAGTGGGAAGGGGCGTGGGACCGAGAGGCTGAGGAGGAACGCGGAGCGAGGAGAACCCTCCATTGGTTGACTTCGTATCTGAACTCTATAGACCTCCACAATCCGTTATTCATCCCACACGCTCCTGGCGCCGGGGAGAAAAATGGATGATAGATCCAAGTCCATCTGGGACAGAGACTGTTAACTCAGCAGATCCTCCTAAAACTTAGTTTCGAGATGGACGTTGAGATTCGGTGATATTAATTCGCTTTCTATCCTGATAATGTAGGACGGAAACCAAAATCACTACTCGGTGCCATCTATAGAACCCACTTTGCTCTGCCCCAGTCCGTGCCGCACTCTTCGCCCAGATTCTCCAAGGCTCCATTCCCCCCTGCCTTCTGGTTCTCTCACACTGCATGCATTCCCAGCCCTGGCAACCCCACCATCTAGCACCCGGCCTATACGAGGCACAGTGCAGGAACTACTCAGTATACTGGGTCTGGTGGTGCAATCCCGCAACACCAGCCATCTACTGGGGAGGGTGAATAGAAGGCTGATAGGTTCAAGACCTGCCTGGGTAACTTACTATGAGAGGGATGGGGCTATATACCTCATTAGTACCTTGCCTAGCATGCACAGTGCTCTAGGTTCAATCCCCACTACTGAAAAAAAATCTTCTCTGTAAATGTTTGCTATTTTAGTGGCCTGTTTAAGGCCATATAGCTGATAAACTGATGGAAAGGCCAAGACATAAAACTAAGGAAACCAAAACTCTTCAGTAGCCCACTAGGGTGATGTGTGTTTGTAATTCCAGCACTCAGGAGGCAGAAGCAGGAGGATCACTGCAAATTCAAGGATCTCTCTCCATTGATCCCCACTCCGGACTCCAAAGAAAGGAAATAGGAGGCAGAATAGCTGTGGACACAGGCAAGTACTCAGGTGACGGAAAAGACAGAATGTCCAGGTCTTTGACAAATTCAGGAAGTGGAGAAGCAGGGAATCCAGGCAAGTGGTGGTATTGAAGACCAACTGACAGAAAGCATGGACTGTTGTACAAATAAAAATTATAATCCAAACATCTAAAGAGCGTCTCAAAATGGAGTCAGGAAACGTAAGGTCTTACTGAGGGCTTCAGCTGCCCAGGGGATGTGAGCTCTACTCACCTACATGTCCTCTAAAACAGATTATTGATCTTGTGCCCACTTAATAGGCATCAAGATGTTTCTGGACTCTTGCTATATGCATATTGTTACTTATACATTCTTGCGTCTTCTGTCAGTCTCAGCACTTTTCATACAGCTTCTGTTCTTTCTCAATTTCAATGGACTTTCTCCAAAAAGGAATTGCTATCACTGTATACTGCTTTCTCACTGAAGCTCGAATCTTCCCTGCCTTCTTTATTTGGAACATTGATTCGGAGCTCTCTGAACTTGTCGCCTGAATTCCCACAACTCCAAATAAAGTCCATTCACTTTCTGAGGTTTGAGTGATAGTTATTATCAGGGACTTAAATAAGGGTTTGTTTTCTCACAAGACAGAAAGCCTGGACAGGCAGCTGTGCTGGTTCAGTGGCTCCTCAAGGACCAGAGGCAGTACATTTTCCACCTTTCTCTAAGGATTCAACAATTCTTTTGGCTTTTCCCCAAGGACTGCAGTATGGTTGGCTGCCTCCATGCCATGCATCATTTTCTCGTTCAATGCAGGGCCTTGCCCAGAAGTCCCTCAACACATTTTCTGCTTGCATCTGACTGGACATCTTACTGTGTCAAGTAGATGTACCAAAGGCTAGAAAAGTGAGTGCTTAGCATTTTCAACAAGCTTTAGTGGTCTCTGCAGGGAGAGGGGATGGGATTGCTTTTAAGTAAAACACATACTACCTTTTAAAGCAGAGATTTGAAGTAACTAGCAAGTTTAAAAGCCAGGCATGGTGGCGCACACCTTTAATCCCAGCACTCGGGAGGCAGAGGCAGGCAGATCTCTGTGAATTCGAGGCCAGCCTGGTCTACATAATGAGTTCCAGGACAGCTGGGGCTACAGGGAGACCCTGTCTCAAAAAGACCCCCCCCAAAAAAGAGAGGAGAGTCGAGCAGAAATGAAAGGATTTTCAGGTGATATTGGGGAATTGGCAGAAGTTGGTGTCATGGATGATTTATTTTTTTTTGTTAAATTTTTTTCTCATAGTACTCAGGTTTCTGGCTCTGTTAGAACTTATTTCCCTAAAATGGTGACAACAACATCTCCCATCCTTTATGTTTTTACAACAATATGGTGACATTTTTCCCATTAAAAAGTGACATGTGGGGGCTGGAGGGATGGCTAAATAGTTAAGAACATGTGCTGCTCTTCCAGAGGACCTCAGTTTGGTTCCTAGCACCCATGTTAGGCAGCTCACAACTGCCTGTGACTCCAGCTCGGGGAAATCTGACATCCTCTTCTGGTGTACACGTAGGCACATACACATACACATAAAATAAGTAAATCTTCAAGACAAAAGAAGTAACGTGAGCTGGACACAGCAGGGCATGCCTGGAATTCCAACACTTGGGAGGCATGTGCAGGAGGATTCAGACACCTGGCCACATATTGATACTGTGGGGGTAGGGGTGAATGCTGGGGATGTAGGTCAGTTGGTAGAGTGTGCTTAACATGCATGAAGATCTAACTTCAGCCTCCAGTACTATGTACATACAATTGAGCATGGTAGCACATGCCTGTGAGCCCAGCACTGGGGAGGTGGAAGCAGGAAGATCAGAAGTTCAAGCTTATTCTCAGCTTTATAGTTTGAGGCCAACTTGGGCTATATGAGACCCTGTCTCAAAAAAAAAGGAGGTGGATATGTCCTTACATTTGCATTATGACAGACTGAGTCTGACATGTGGAGAAAATACATAGATATTCCAGGCAACAGCTCAATGGAGGACAAAGCTGATTACCAAGAATATCTACTAAGTATATGAGGTTAAATACTTCCATATGAACTTAGCCCTAGCCACTGACTCAGCTCTACCCTTCTAGTTTTTCTGGTTGAGTTCCAGGCACCTTGGAGCCATCTCTGGACTCTGGACTTTGTCTAAATTTCTAACTCACAGAATCTGTGAACATAATAAAAAGCAAATTAAAACCACAGTGGGATACCACTCAATTCTTCTAGGGTGGTTATGAGAGCAAGTGCTGAGAGAACACGAATTTATAAATGAGTATCCTCTGAAATGGTTCAGATGTTAAAGGCTCATGTTCAGTGATGGGCCATTGGGGTTGTGACGGGATTGTGAGGACGCTATTGTAATCAGTGGATTAATTCATTGATGGAAGCACAATTGAATGAGCTATTGGAAGATGGTGGAAATTATAGAAGGTGGGGCCTTACTGGATGAAGTAGGTTAGTGAAGGGCATATCTTATCTCTAGTTGGCTTCCCTCCCTCCCTTCCTCCTTCACAGCTATCAAGAGATGACTAGTTTTCTCTGTCACATACTACTGCCTCTATGGTGTTCTGCTTTACCACAGAACCAAGGTAACAAAACAAGTAGATCCTGGGCCAACACCTCTGAAAGCATGAGTCAAAATAAACCATTCTTCCTTTAGGCTGACATCTCCAGGTGTTTGTCACAGCAACAAAAAGTTCACTAATACAGAACTCTGCTACACTGCAGGTGGGAATGTAAAATGGTGCAGCCACTTTGAAAAATAGTTTGGCAGATTCTCACAGCATTAGACATAGGAGTTGGCAGGGTAGCTCAGTGTGGAGACCACTAGAATGTGGGAGGCTCTGAGTCAGAGTCCCAGAACCACACACACACACACACACACACACACACACACACACACACACCAAAACCAGAAGAAGAAAAAAACACATATATTTACCATTTACCATGTGATCCAGAAATTCTACTCCTAGGACTGTACCCAAGAGAAATGAAAACACAGCTGCAGGGGTCCAGCAGGGTTTCCCAACACGCAGCCACACAAGAACGCATACAGGAACGTCCACAGCAACTTCATTCATAATAGTAGAAACAACCCAAGTCATCTGGTTAATGAATAAAGAAAATATGGTGAGTCTATACAATGGAATTATTTTTACAGTGTTAGACATCAAACCCAGGGCCTCAATCATACTGAGCAAACGCTCTTCCACTGAGCTACACTCTCAGCCCCACACAACAGAATATAATTTCGCAGTAAGATATATTGCTACTTGCTACAACATGGATGAACCTTCAAAGTATGCTAAGTGAAAGAAGTCAGTCAAAAGAGAGACATGTGATCTGGGCGTGGTGTCACAGGCCTTTAATCCCAGCACTTGGGAGGCAGAGGCAGACAGATCTTTGTGAGTTCAAGGACAGCCTGGTCTACATAGCAAATTCCAGACCAGCTGGGGCTATAGGGAGACCCTGTCTCAAAACAACAGAAAAAAAAAAGAGATAACCTGCAGTAGAGTCCCCCCAGCTCCTTCCAGGCAGCTCCGTCCCCATCACACCCCACTGCTTTTGGACTATGATCATTCACCTCTGGAGATGTGATTCAGAGTGTGAACTTCTCATCAACCTACAAGACAGACTTTGAACTTCATCATTCATGACCGCAAATGACTCCAAACATTTCAGTACTTGATTCTAACTTAGGCTGGAATGAAGTCAAGGTTTAGAGACAGGAGTCTTAGAACCTAGAGTCCTGCCCTAGACAAACATGGCTACCAAGAATGGATTTTAATCATTGATCACCGCTATGTTAAGCATCTTATAAATGATTGCTAACATTTACTGAATGCTTACTATGTGCCAAGCACTCTTCTAAGCACTTTATGTTGAGTCATTGAATCTTCACAAAAATCCTATGAGACATTATCTCCATTTTACAGATGAAAAAGTGGAGGTATTAGCCAGGCGTGGTGGCGCATGGATTTA